GCCTGAACCGGCCCGGCCCACACCCACCCTTATATAACTTGATTTCCATTTGTAATGACGGATACAGTTTTATCCACAAGTAGTTGCAACACAAATTGTTGCGTTCATAAGTTTCAACTTAAAAATTGCTGCCACACTCTAAATTTTAAGTGTGGACGCAGTACCCCACATTCTTAACACATTAGGGTGTTGCATCAACATTCTTTTGCTACAACTATATCCAACCAAACACTCATAGATGCGATAGGAATAACATAATGTTCCAACCATATCAATCCAAACAAATTCATGATGTTGCAACTACATTTGTAGTTCCAACATGTCCTAGTTAAACACACCCGTAGTGAAGTTAAAAAATTACAATTTGCACCCTCCACTTTCAGACAACCAACCCTGAAGAAATCTAATCTAATATAATAGGTAACATTAGAACTTTCTCGTTAAAGAGAAAAATAAATAAACATAATGATTTTATTTTCTAATGACACTAAGAAAATGTATGGAGGCTAATGCTTGAGCCCTAGCACGATTAGGAAGCATCAATAACACCTCAAACGCGAATGATGCACCTTCACTTGAGAATTGAGATCGAGATCAATAGTGTTTCTAATATCTCCTAATAAATAGATCTTAGCCTTTGATTTATCAATCAAAGGCCAAGATCTCATCCTTATCCTCCCTCTACTTTTGCTCATGAGGAGATCTTGGCCTTTGATTGTCTTTGATTGATAAATCAAAGGCCAAAATCTCATTAGGAGATATTAGGAACCTCCTTATTAGTAGAGGATCCTAATCCCCCCCCCCCCCCCCCCCCCCCCCCCCCCCCCACCCAGAATCAAATCCTAGATCATGGCAGCCATATTTTAACTTCCCAACCATCTAGATCACCTGCGGAGGGTAAGACCTCGGATCCTAAATTTGAAGAAGGTAAAACGACTCTAAAATAAATACAATAACTTAATGTTGGAGATAATCAAATAAACATATAGGTTAACATTGAGATCTTTAAAGATCATTTAGATCGAGAAGGCAAAACTTAAAAGTAATAAATTGTCAATCCGAATGTTGCCCTTAAAAGGTACATTTTAGGAAAAAATATGATCACATAAAATAGCATGTTAATAAATTAAAAAAAAAAATACTATAACCAGAGTGAAGCAGGACATTATCAAATATAGTTTTACCTTGAAAAGGTACCGGAAAATAATGAATCAAAACTCATAATGATCTTCACTTGCTTCACCGATCCCCCATTGTTTGTGTATTTTCTTAGATTGTCTAGACGATGGTGGATCTAAAGATAGAGAAAGAGGGGAGAGAAACAGAGAGAATGGAAAAAGAAAAGGGTGATAAGAACGAAAGAGGGGCGACAAGAACAAGAGAGGGCGACACAGAAAAGTGGTCAGGTTATTGTTCTTTGGACGGATATATAAATGGAAAATTACTTCATTTACTCTTCATTTAATTTTTCAATATATATTTTGGCACCATTTTGCATAAATTGATATTTTTATATATTTCTTAAAAAAAGTATGGAGGGAATTTATGTATAGAAATGGTTTTTAAACATAAAAAATAACTTAAAAATTCAACAAGGGGAGTTAGCATTTGAAGTATGATACTTCTTTTGGTGGGAGGTTGTGAAAAACTTCCCATTAAATATCACTGGTAAAAGATCTCGAGTTAAAATACAATCACACTATGTAAGTTTATTATGCAATACTTTAATTCACAGTGGCCATCACCAAATTTACATGATGATACAAATGAAAGCCAACCATTTGCACCCACCTAGCTTTACACTGTCTGACATGCAATCTAATGTACTATTAAGACCTTGATAAACAATAAAAGAAATATCGATACTATACCCTTGGGTGTCAACGTTGATTTATTGATTATCAAGGTCATGTAGTAGATTGAATTTTCGCATGTCCAACCGAACGAAGCTACTGTAGGAGCAAACACTGTCATGCGTTACTATATATCAACCAATATCAGAACCAACCGCACGCGAGCAATCAGCCTGAGCCGCTCAGCTGCTGATCGTCTTCATTTGTTTGGTTCTACAAAGCACAATCAAGTTTCAAATTCTATTACAGATATATAGTGTACCGAAAATTCCTTTTCAAGAGGCATGCATTGAACAAATCTCTTATATGGTACATACTTTTAAGGGATTGATATGGAATTTGAACAAATTAGTGAAAAAACAATTTGGTAATCATCATTCAAAATGTTTTAAATGGCAGTAATTGAGTTAAAATGCTCTCGCTTTTGTGTGTGTTGTGTCTGTGTGTATCCTAATCTATAGACTACAGGTAGGAAACATGGGGAACAAATTTAAAATATGAATATGTAAATCTTGAATTAAATTCTTTTGTCACAAATTCAAATTGTAAACTTATCATCATTAAAAAATGATTAACCTGAGTAAAAAGAACTAACTTAAATATATGCAAGAACTAATTTAAATCAAAACCAATTAAAAATATATTTAGTATATTAAGAATAATAAAAATTGGCTCATGCTTTCGAGTAGTAACTCAATTCAGATTTCAAGAAGCAAATCGAGTTGGCTTTGGCAGGGTTCAAAGGTGGAAAAAGAATTCAAATATGGATACCACTACGTATACATGTCATAACCCAAAATGAGCAGATGTACGTAAATAAATGAGATAAAGCATGCAAATGTAAAGAGCGAAGAAGAAACTATTGAAGAGATCAGTGAAGGAATCAGAGGCTTTGTTGGACCTCAATTTGTCGCTTCGTATGTCATGGCCAATGGCCTAACTGCATCCTCGGTTGCGACCTGCCATCAATGAAGCTAAACAATAATAAGTGAGAACAAGAAGATGAAAAGAGATTTGAGGAATGAGGTAATTAATGCATGTGTTATATATATATATATATATATATATATGGAGATGTTCTAATAAAAACCTCCTTAGCCTAAAAACTAAAAACCTCCTTCATCCAATGGTTAGAATTCAGTCAAACAGTCAACAGACACATGCATTAATTACCTCATTAAACACATGCATTAATTACATCAACGCAGTGAATCCGGATTCACTGCAGTGATTCGAGATACGTTGAGGTAGTGAATCTGGATTCACTGTATTGAGGTAATTAATGAGGTAATTAATGCATATGTCTGTTGACTGTTTGACTGAATCCCAGCCATTGGATTCATCTAGATCCAATGGATGAAGGAGGTTTTTAGTTTTTAGGCTAAGGAGGTTTTTATTAGATTCTCTCCATATATATATATATATATATATATATATATATATATATATATATATATATATATCCCAGCCATTGGATTCATCTAGATCCAATGGATGAAGGAGGTTTTTAGTTTTTAGGCTAAGGAGGTTTTTATTTCTCTCTCTCTCTCTCGTCCGCCATCAACACAAGCTTCCACGCCGGCAAAGCCAAGCTCCCAAACCCGACCTCTAGTTCCGCCTGCACCCTCGCTGTCCCTCCAACCCGACCATCTCCATCTCCTCCGCTCCATTCCCAGCGAACCCGCCAACTCGAGTCGTCAACCCCACCCCCGCTCGAGCTCCGACCAGCAGCGACGACCGCGCCGCCTGAGTTCACCGTCAACCCCAAGCCCCGACGAGCCCCCGCCGGCGAACTCCGACCCTAGTCACCGCCTCACCTCCTCTCCGACCTCCTTCCTGAAACGCCGTCAGCCCCATTCGCCACCACCACGACCAGCCTTCGTCGTCGCGACCAGCAGCCATCTCCCTTCCCCTCTCCTCTCCGCCGCTGACCGCCAGTTTGTTTTTAATGTAAAAATTGTAACTTTTTGCTTAAAATCATTGAGATATAGAAAAATGCCAAATCAAATCCTTTGTCTTTTCCATTCACTTCTAGAAGTTCTAGCTTTATTGTGGCAGAGATTGTATTAATTCTAATACTTTTATATATTGCAGATTGTAAATGATGAACTTGTGAAATTGATGGGTGGAGAAGTGTCTGATCTTGTATTCACGAAGTCTGGTCCAACAGTAATAGTACTTGCAGGCTTACAAGGTGTTGGAAAGACCACAGTTTGTGCCAAGCTTGCCTTTTACCTAAAGAAGATGGTACAGTCGGAGGCCCTTTTATCCACATTTTAGTACAGTCCGAAGCCCTCCATTCTATTGATACTATTACTAATAGAGATGACACAGATTACAGGGGAAAAGTTGCGTGTTGGTTGCTGGAGATGTGTACAGGCCTGCAGCTATAGACCAACTCTCAATTTTGGGTGAAAAGGTATATTGCTATGATCTCAGTAGGATTTTATCTGATTCTAAAAGAAGAAGAAAAATCCAATTATGGTGTTTTTTTATTATATATCAACCTTTTAGTATTGATTTATGTTCTACTTATCTTTATTATCATTTTTTGTGAAGGGCAGTATTTTCTTTATCATGAAAAGGTAGTTAGACACATAAGAGTTGACATAAGAGTTGTGCATTGCATCTTTGCTTCTTTTGTTTCCCTTTTCTGATAAGTGATAAAGCCTCATGTTTCGTCCAACATTCTTGAGATACGCTATCACTGATTTACTCTTTTTTATTGATTCAGTTGTTATCATTCATTCTATAGAGTCTATCTGTTTCCTCTTTTGCATGCCTTCTTTGTATTATCTGATTTCTTTTCACACTGTGTTCTCCCCTTCTTTTTCATGTGACAGATAGGTGTGCCTGTTTATAAAGAAGGAACTCAAGTAAAGCCTTCACAAATTGCTAAAAATGGTCTTGAAGAAGCCAAAAAGAAGAAAATCGACGTTGTCATGGTGGATACCGCAGGAAGACTGCAGGTTCTCTTAGAAGCTGAAATTATATATTCATAGATATCTCCATTCAGTTGTAGATCTTTATTACATCAATATGTAGTCTGGCTTTTATAGATTGACTCTGGTAGTATTAATTATAGTTGTATCTTTTGTCGTCTCTGGTAAGTTTTTATGTCAATTACGTTTTATTTACATTTGCTATAAATTATGTTCTGTTTTGGTTTTGCAAATATTAAAATAATTGCTTGATTCATAACAACCTAATGGTATGTGTTATGGAAATACAAAAGTAGATTTATCTTTGAACTGGTACCAGATAGATAGTGAGGATGTCAGAATGTCGCCTCACAACTTTGTACTGTATACTACTTCCTTTATTACAATCCAACTGAAATACATTGATAGAAGTAATACATTTTCTAAATTTTGATTTTTGTTAGGGCTCCATACCCAATTTTCTTCTCTATATATGTCCTGCTTCAGTTTCATCCGTAACATTTTTCTACCCTTAATGCTCATATCCAACATTGCCACCTGGTTGCATGATTTTTCCAATCACGGTAAAAGTCAAATTTCTACATGGTCTATGGAGGGTCGTGAAACCATTAACTTGTCAATGAGTGGTATTAGTTCTATACATTAGCACTTTAATATATTAGTAGGTATTGGGCACTTTCTAGCCATGTTTAGCTTTAGAATTGGGCATCAAAAAGCGCAAACATTGGATAAGCAGAATATATGCATAGCTGTATAACTTAGAAAGTTGAGGATTATCTGTACAAGCTACAAGCTACCTTACTTGCTTATGAATGGATGTCGGATGCATCATGCATGTTAAAGGAAAAAATCTGTCTCGCAGCTTTGGTTTTAATTTCAGTGTTTTATATGCAAATATTTTTTATTCTTTGGCATTTTAATGAAACTTTTCTCTGCAGCCATTCACAAGTTTCATATGTGAATAATCCCACTTACATCTGCCATTCACAAGTTTCATATCTCAATGATCCCACTTACATCTGACCAAAATGTAATTTTTTTAAAAAATAAAAAAAGTAATGCCAATAACTGTAACTTATCTCAACATTAATTACCCCTTTATAATTACCCCTTTATTACACGATTTTTTATAAATACAAAACTTTATATATTATTATTGTTCTATTTTGTATTATTTTGTATTCTTTTGCTACATCAATATATATTAAACATATATTTAGCTTTGATGCACAAGACTTAAATCTGCTGGGTGAAGAAATGCAAAGTTGTACATTAAATGTTTGTAAAATTAAATGGTTGAAATATGACAGTAAATGCAAACTATCATGTTGCTTTTGGCTGAAATTTGACATAGTTGATGCACTCTAATTTGACATAGTTGATGCTAATTTGACATATTTCAATTCTTCCATGAAAAGAGCGCATTCTATCTTAGGTTGTTATTTTTTTCTACTGTTGTTTTGGACAGTTATGGTTTTTTTTCTATAGATAGATTGGTAGATTGCTCTCTCTTTCATTTTACAGCAAGAAAAAAATGAATACAAAAGGCAAAGATAGAATTAAAGATATTTCTACCTATACAAGTGTATTTTTCTTTTCTTTCTATATAATTATATTTTTTTCTGTTTCAGATCTGTTTGTTTTTTGTTTATCTTTACTATTGGTAAGTGATGAACTCAATATAATTTTACTAGAATGTATTTCTCCTATATTATGTTTTGTTATTTTTCTCCAATGGCAATGTATTTCACTTCAATTTTTTGTTCTTTCTTATGTTTATATAGAGTATGTGAAAGTTACATTTTATTTAACTAATTGAGTACTTCTTATGACGTATTCTTATGGTTTGATGATGTTCTTAAATTGCAATCATATAAAATTTTCTTACACAGACTTTATTTGATTAATGTATTACATTGTCTCTTATTTTCGTTAGGTGGATGTCATACACCCCTTACATGATAGGTATTATATTTTCTTTGTTTTTTTACATTTCAATTTTATTTTACCAATTTCTTTGGAAAGTTATCATCGATTTAATTATTAATATGACTCGCACAAAATTTTCAAATATTATTTTCCTATGTTTACATTTTTTCAAACCTTTCATTTTTTTAATTTTTTTAAGTTTACCCACTTTTGGTACTTTTTTGACATTTCACCTTAATTTTGAATTTTTTCTACCTTTTAATAATAAAATAACTCCCACCATATTTCTGAATACCGTTTTTACACATTTATATTTTTCAAACTATATATGATCTTAAACTGATTCAAGTTTTTCAAACTTTCTAATTTTTCAAACTATATATGCAATTTATGTTGTATCATTTCTGACTACTTATATATTATTATTGTTTTATTTTGTATTTTTTGCTACATCAATTTTTGTATATTAGACAAATCCGTGCATCGCACGGGCCTGAAACTAGTAAGATATGAATACAAGAATAAGTACGCCAATGCAATCACAAACAAACGATATGTTCACGAGGTTCGGTCCCCACGACCTACGTCCCCGGTCCTCACCTCGAGGAGATCTCCACTATCACAATCGGGTTTTCTACGCTCACTCGAATAACGTTTATACCTCACAATGTCGGTTTTTAATGCTTACCGATCAACGTTCACACCTCACACTCTCACTCGGTTTTTTAGCTCACCGAAAATTTTACAACAACACACTCAGTTTTCTAGCTCACCGAAAACCTTACAATCTCACAATATAACAAAAACTGTTCTCTACAATGGATGAGAACTCAATTAAGTACAACTCAATGTTATAATCCCATAATCCAAATTATACTATGAATGTAAATACAATAAGCTCAAGTGGGTGTGTGTAAACAATGAGTGAAATCAAATCTAAACTCAATATAAAACTAGCTTTAATAAAATGATAATCAAACAAATAAATATAAAGCTAGAAATAGAGTTTAGAAAACTTCTCAATAGATCAAGAGATAGAGGTAGAAGAGTTGGATGCTCAAACAATGTAGATGATCTTCCTCAAGCTCTTGTGAAATTGTTTTCACAAAACAAACCCTTTAAACAAACTTGAACTCTTTTAAAACTTCTTTAAAACATTCTCTTAGTTCTCCATGAAAGATAAGAGCAATGGGGTATATATAGCCTCCCAAAATCTCAGCCAAAACCCCAAAGGAAAAGACCAAAAAGCCCAAGAATCAGAAATCTGATTCTGTACCAAAACTAGCAGTTGGGCGATTAGCGGTCGACCGTGGAAAACTCGCGATCGACCGCGAGCAACAAAAAGACCAGGGTTTGGCTCTGGACAATAGACGGTCGACCGCGAGCCATCAAGAAACATACTGAGTCTCTGGACTCAGGGCCGGTCGACCATGGCGGTCGACCGCAAACAGATATATGCAATTTGACAGGTTTGAAACAGTTTTCTGATTTTAAAACCCTGTTTAAAAATATCAAATAAATTCAAAAAAAATGTAAAACTTTGGGAAATAATTGTAGACATGATACTACAAAAATATCATCATTTTACAAAATAGTCCAAAACATAAAAATGTAAACACATGAATTTTGATATTTTAGCTTAACCATGTTTTGAAATAATACAAAATAATTTTATAGACTTGAAGAAAGATGTAAACTATTGTTATGAAGTCTATAAACAATGAATATAGTATTTTATCAAAATACACATATAATGTACTAAAACATGATTTCATTGAACTAAATAAAATTGATATTGATGAAATCATATATATGCATTTAAGTATGAAACAAAAATATGTTTTCTAATTATATTTAATTGTTTCATAGTAAAACTTGAAAACTATCAAACCAAAACATATATGTATATATATTACTATATATATACACGGAAACTAATAAATGTGTGTGTGTATATTATATTGAGCTTAAGGTACTAGCACACATAATATAAACTCCTAAACTAAATTAACCAAGCTTGATCTTGATCTTCAATAGCTTGACTTGGTAATCTTGCAAATGAAGCTTGAACTTGGATCTTCAACTTGAATTGTACATAGCTTCAACTACTATTCCACCAACCTCCATTTGATATGATCGTTATGGTGCAATTCATCCAACCTCCAACATGTTGTTTGCCTAGAATAAATACGAAAACACAAACACTAGACAAATAACATTAGAAGTAAATTATTTGTTAAACATCATCAAAACAAGAAGGCCAACAGTCTGCATAAAGGAACAACTGCTAATCAAGCAAAAAAGGAAAGCAAATCAAGATTCCTCTCATACAAGAGCAATAACTATACTAACCGATACAATGAATAAGCCTTCTACGGTACAACTTCTCCTATGACTTTAAAAAGGAATGAGAACTGTCACAAAGTTCGTACACTCGAATCCTTGCTAACTCCTTGCTTCTCATTGTCAGAATCACTACCTCCATCCACACTTTTTGCCTGTTTAGAAGTTGTAGAGTCAAGCTGACTTGGAGGCCCAGTAACTGATTGCTGATAAAGAACTCCACCGGCAAGAGTAAAAAGCAAACAAACCAGTCCAAATGGGCTGGCATGCTTATCCCATATCGTCACATTGATCGCAACTGTGAGAAACTTAGGGGGGGGTTATTCGTTGGTGTAATTTGGTGTAATTTGGGGTAAATTGTTCCAATGGGGTAATTTTACCTAATGGGATAATTGAGTGGGATAAAGTGGGGTAAAATAGGGGTAATGGGACAATTTGAGTGGGACAATTTTAGTATGACATCTTTTTATAATATTATATTTATAGCTCAATTAAATTCAAGTTTAACTTGATATAACATCAAATGATTAAATAAATAATAGTTATAATATAAAATAATATTAATTTTTAAGATTATTTTAATATAAAATATTAAAAATAATATAATAATATTAATATTTATCAATCTTAAAATATTTTGATGTTTATTTTTAGACTCCTTGGGCTATGTTTGTCCCATCCTCCCACATTGTGTTTGCCATTTGTTCTCTCCAACGTGATGCAGCTGTCTGTTGTGCTTGTTGAGTTTGTATGTCATCGTCCTCATCAGAATCACCATCAATCGGAGCAACATTGCGTGGTGCCTCTAGAGGAAGATCAGAAACTTTAAAGTCATCGTTGGAGTTCTCCATCTTCAGAAAATTATGCAAACCGATACATGCCCAGATCATACTTTTTTGAGTCTCATATGAAAAACCTGGAGGTTGAGACTTAAAAATTGTAAACCTAGACTTAAAAATGCCAAAAATTCGTTCAATACAATATATTAGATAGAACAACCTCACCTGTATAATAACAAAAACATACCAAGATAATATTCATTAATAAAAGTCCAAAAGCATATAAGTCCAAAAGCATATAAGCCCAAAAGCATACAAGTAACAACATGTATGTGCTTAACATCTATGTTTCCAAAAGCATAGAACTAACAACATCTATGTTCCCAAAAGCATACAAGTCCAAAAGCATATAAGCCCAAAAGCATACAAGTAACAACATGTATGTGCTTAACATCTATGTTCCCAAAAGCATAGAACTAACAACATCTATGTTCCCAAAAGCATACAAGTCCAAAAGCATATAAGCCCAAAAGCATACAAGTAACAACATGTATGTGCTTAACATCTATGTTCCCAAAAGCATAGAACTAACAACATCTATGTTCCCAAAAGCATACAAGTCCAAAAGCATATAAGCCCAAAAGCATACAAGTAACAACATGTATGTGCTTAACATCTATGTTCCCAAAAGCATAGAACTAACAACATCTATGTTCCCAAAAGCATACAAGTCCAAAAGCATATAAGCCCAAAAGCATACAAGTAACAACATGTATGTGCTTAACATCTATGTTCCCAAAAGCATAGAACTAACAACATCTATGTTCCCAAAAGCATACAAGTCCAAAAGCATATAAGCCCAAAAGCATACAAGTAACAACATGTATGTGCTTAACATCTATGTTCCCAAAAGCATAGAACTAACAACATCTATGTTCCCAAAAGCATACAAGTCCAAAAGCATATAAGCCCAAAAGCATACAAGTAACAACATGTATGTGCTTAACATCTATGTTCCCAAAAGCATAGAACTAACAACATCTATGTTCCCAAAAGCATACAAGTCCAAAAGCATATAAGCCCAAAAGCATACAAGTAACAACATGTATGTGCTTAACATCTATGTTCCCAAAAGCATAGAACTAACAACATCTATGTTCCCAAAAGCATACAAGTCGCATGTGTACTTACATAGTGTACGCTGGTGCACATGCTGCTCTGCCTGACTTTTGTGGGAACAGAATGAGGATGAAATAGATCCTAGAGACAAAGGAACTTGATGGACGGTTGAGTTGATAACATATTCAGGATATATATTTACTTTTACATATAAAAATCACTCTACTTGCTAAGAAAGAATCCTGATTGCCTATTAATTTGTCTCCTTCTAGCTGCTGGTATATAGTAGTTTTTACATATAAAAAATCACTCTTCTTGCTATAAGAAAGAATTCTGAGAGCTTGTTAATTTGTCTCCTTGTAGCTGCATGTATACGTATTAACATATTCACACAACAATCCTCTGCTGCTCTACCTTTGCATGAATACATTAATTGATGAAGCAATAGTCACACTCCTGACAAAACTTAAGAGATTATGTAGCTAGCTGCTGTTTATTAATGAACTGACTAGATAATGAACTCACCCAATAAAGTGCAGCTGTTGTTTATATATCAGAATCATCAAGCTGGAGATGTATTGACTTAAATTTCTCAAACTTTGTGGTGATTTTTTCATCCACAGAGACAAATATTGAAGGCAAATTGACTAAAGATGCAAATTTAAAAGTCACCTTGAGATCGCTGGAGAGGAAAACGAGAAACCCTTGAGATCGCCGGAGAGGAAAACGAGAAACCCTAGCTAGGGTTCAGCGATTGGGGGAAAACGAGAAAGGGCGACGGAGTAGGCCCACGACCTCCAGAACGGCGACGGAGCAAGGGAACGGACCTCGAGAACGGCGACGACCCTGCGGGAGTTCGAGCTCGAGAACGAATTTTCCCCCCCCTCTTGTTCCAGGAAACGAAATGGGGTAATTTTGGGGGTGGGGGCTGAAAACCCTTTATATACTTGGGGTAATTTGGGGGAAAGTGGGGTATTTGTCCCACAATTATCCCAACAAACCAATAACACCATAAATGTTACTCCAGTTCTAATTACCCCAATGAATAACACCAAATATTGTTGTTCCAAAAATTATCCCATTATCCCAAAAATTACCCCAATGAATAACCCCCCCTTATTAACCAAGCCAGTGACTGTAAATGCCGTAGCAGATATTGCTTTCCTCGCCGCAAATCCAAATAAACTGATAAGCAATCCAAAAACACAAGATAACATCACCGCAACAAGTGCATCCATCGCAAACCAGTCTCCTGAACTCGATCCAACAGCAGCAAAAACATCAGAGTACTCTCCAGTTACAAACCAAAACAAAGGAGCCAACATCAAGGACAACAGATTGTTGTACAACACAAAACCCCAAGTGTTGAGCCCTAGGTTTGTCACCATGTGCTTGATATACACCATCTCAGTAGTGATTGTGATCAAATATGCAAAAGCCCATGAATATGCTGTGAGCGTGAAGCCTAAATCATCCATAACATAACCAACTGCACCACCCAATATGATCACTAGAGATAAGAAAGTGAGCTTCGAAGGGCATGGTTGTTTTCTGAATGTTGTGTCACCAATGGCAACAAGAAGAGGAGTCAGTGATCTGAACACGATGAAAGTGTCGACATTGGCATGGCGGAGGAGATTGGTGTTGGTGAATATTGCGAGGTAAAAGACAACTGCAGCAGGGAAGAACTTCTTAGCTATTTCTAGGGTGAAGGCGTCATGATATAGAAACCCTAATTTTCCGAGAATCGAGACTCCTAGAGCTGAGGTCATGTATTGAAGTGCAGTTAAGAGGCCCGGGTAGTTGAACTTTGTGATTGCATATTTGTTGATTATGGCAAGCAAACTAGAACATGGAGCATATCCTATAACAAAACTACTAGTTGCGTAATACTGTTTTTCGAGTTTGATGACAGCCATGACTGTTTGTTCTCACTCAACCTGCAAAATGAGGCAGAATTTTCTTCAAGTCTGATATATTTTTTTCTTTTAAGGGAAAGGATGGGGACTGAAAAAAGCTCATCTTACATCATAATAATAAGAAAAAAAAGTAACCCAAACACCCTATGAGAAAAAAAGTAACCCAAACACCCTATGAGAAACAAAATAAAAGCACACAAATCCAAACTTCAAACAATGTTCTTTTCATTAACATACTGTAGGCGTCTAAAAATACTTATAGATACCTAGATATAGCTTAAGACAAAGAGAAGATAATGAATGTTATTATCTAAGTCAGAGAGGATCATCCAAAGCTAAAAGAAGCAAATGAACATGTGAAATAACATAGAAGAACAATATGAATACTCGTGACAAGGAACACTGACGCGCATAGGCATGGTAGTGGAAGGTATTGTGCATACAAATAGAGTGACATGCTTATGGAAAGTTGTATAGCTCTTCGCTAGCTTTCAAACTCATCTTGGATCACCTCATTCTGATATAGGATGAGGGAGTTAGATCCAAAATACCCGAGAGGTCGCAAACTGCCTCGGAGGTGCGCGACAGTGTACACTTACGCGCATAGACGCGGCAGTGGAAAGTGACGCGTAAATAAAAATAGTACCGCGCCTATGGAAAGTTGTATAGCTCTTCTATAGATTTCTAACGCATCTTGGATCACCTCATTCCGATATCAGACGAGGGAGTTAGAGCCAAAATACCCGAGAGGTCGCAAACTGCCTCGGAGGTGCGCGATAATGTACACTGACGCGCATAGGCGCGGCAGTGGAAGGTGACGCGCAAGTAAAGAGAGTGCCCCACCTATAAGAAGTTGTAGAGCTCTTTTCTAGATTTCCAATGCATCTTGTATCACCTCATTCCGATATCGAACGAGGGAGTTAGAGCCAAAATACCCGAGACAACGCAAACTGCCTCGAAGGTGCACGGCAGTGGTAGCTGCCGCGGCAATGCATGACAGTTTAAACCATGATATGATCCAAATCTGAAAAATCTCAAAAGATAAAAGTTGTATATCTCTTCATTATCTTTCCAATGCATCTTGGATCACCTTATTCCGATATCGGACGAAAAAGCTAGAGCTAAAATACCCGAGAGTTACGCGGCAGTGGTAACTGCCGCGGTAATACGCCTCACCGTTCACTGCCGCGCACACTGAGAAGCTGAAAATATCATTTTTGATAGTTTTCTCAAATTTTGTGCGGATCAAATGGCTTATTAACTACTGGAGATCACTTATGAATGTGGGGGAAGCAGTTACAAGCGAAAATCATGCCTACTACCCATGAAAATCGTGGCATTTAAGGAGTTTAAAGTTGTGAGATGACGGTTACAAACTGGAGGGGAACCGCTCCTTTAGCCGCGTCACCCCCGGCTGCCGCGCCTAAAAGGGCATTTCTTCAGCCGCGTCACCCCTGGCTATCGCGCCCAAAGGAAGTGTTGTTGGCCAGTTATTTTGCCCTCATTTTAACAGTTATGCATCTATATCCCTATAAATATCTTCCTATACACGGGAGCCAAAGGGGGGAGCAGATCCAAGGCAATTAGAGCAGATAAGCTTAGGCATTTGGCGAATTTGGGAAAAGAGAGAGAGTCTTGATTCCTCAAAAACACTTTCAAGAAGCTTTCGTTAATTCCTAGAGATTTAAGCATTGACTTAATTTTTGGAAGAGTGAATATCTTACATCGATAAGATATTCGCTTCAAATTCTAACTTCGATAAACGAAGAAAGAATCCCCAAAGCCTTCACAATTCAATCAGAATCTTATGAATCAGTGGTCCACGGGCTAACGCACCCCCGACACAGGCAAAGATCCCACAAAAGCAGGAGTTGATAAATAATTTCTGTGTTATTTTCTAGAAAGTTATAATTTTCTTCTTATTGTGTAAGAGAGGTCTTATAAAAATGCTATTTTCTTTTGAATTCATTGTAAACAATCAAAAATATAATGAACTCCACAATGAGACCAACTTTCGACGAAAACACATACCAACAAAACCAC